GGTCCAATAAACAAAGTGTGAATTTTCTTGCTAGGAAGTTGGATAAAGTGTTTATTAACTCTTGTTGGTCATGTGTGTTTCTTGAATCTTTTATACAATTCTTAGCCCCTGAGACTTCAGATCAACCCTGCAGTGTTTTGGCTTTCTAAGGAGGTTCCTGCCAATAAGCCGAAGTCGTTCAAGTTTTTTAATTTTTGGACCATACACCCTTATTTTTTTCAGATATTGTTTAGGAATCTTGACAACCACCAGTTCAAGGTAACCTTATGCAAGTCTTGTTTCTTAAATTTCAAAGGCTTAAAGGCAGTTTGAAAACTCTGAACATGACTCATTTCAATGATATCTCCATGAAGGTTAAGTAACATAGGGATGAATCAAAAAAGTTACAGCTTCTCAACCTGACTAGTGGTTGTGAGGCTACTATTGAGAGTGATGTTAAATTGCAGCAAGAACTTAAGGATTTGGAGGATGATGAGACTCTCTTTTTATAAGCAGAAGGTTAAGGTGAGGTGGCTCCAAGATGGAGACCAAAGCTCCAAAATTTTCATTCCATCGTTGCTACTAAAAACAAGAAGAGTATTATTATAGTTCTTATGGATGAGTATGAGAAGAGGCTAGAATCTTTTGAAAGTATGGCTAATGAGGCTGTTGATTTTTTTACTAAATAGATTAGCTCCAGGGATCCGAATATTAGGGGTTGTGATGTGAGTTGTTGAGGGATATCATTCAATATTCTTTGTCACCTAATGCAAGCGGTGTCATGACAAGGGTAGTGTCTGATGAAGAAATTAAGGCTATCGTTTTTGGGCAAGGAAATGAAAAGGCCTTGGGCCTTGATGGGTATACATCTTTTTCTTTAAAGTTGTCTGGGAGGTGGCAGGTATGGATTTTGTTGTAGCTATTAGGTAGTTTTTTATTCTCTTCTATGTTGCATGCTTTCAATACTATTGTAATTATCTTGATTCCCAAGGTCCCTAATCCCATGATGGTTAAAGATTTTAGGCCACTTTTCTGCTTCTCAATGGTGTATAAGGTTATCACTAGGATTTTGATTTATAGATTATCTAATTTCTTCTACGGCATGGTCTCTTGGAATCAAAATACTTTTGTAAAGGGGAGAAATATTGTGAAAAACACTCTTCTTGCCCAGGATTTAGTGAAGGGGTATACTAGGAAGAACTTATCCCCTAGATATACTCTTAAGATTAATCTCTAAAAAGAATTTGACTCGCTGTGTTGAAGGTTTGTTCAAAGTGTTTTTGGAGGCTTTAGGACAGTCTGTGAAGTTCATTGGTTAGATTAGTGTGTGCTTCACTATCTCTAGATTTTCTGTCTTTTAATGATAGCCTAATGGGGTTCTTCAACGGGGCCTAGGGTGTTCGGTATGGGGATATTCTCTCCCCATATATATGTTTTTTCTTTTCAGGAATATTCTTTCTCACCTTGTGGACTTAGTAGCTACTAATGGTATTTTTTAGTTCCATCCGAGGTGCAAAAGGGTTAACTTGACCATCTTTGCTTTATTGATGACCTGTTAATTTTTTTGTAAAGGTTTGATGGAGTCGGTCATTGGTGTTCGAAGTGTTCTAGACCAGTTTTATGAAATGTCTGCATTAGGCTTAATGCTGTCAAATGTGAACTTTATGTCTGTTAGATACATGAGGTTCCTTTGGTGACTCAAAAGCTCACCAAAAGGGACTGTCTCAATCTCATTAAAAGGATTGTGGCCAGGTTGAGGCAGTGGGCAGACATGCATCTCAGTTATGCTGGAAGGCTACAGCTAATCAATTTTTTCTTTCTTAGCATGACTAACTATTGTTGCAAACAATCAGTGCTTCCTCAAGGGGTCGTTAGGAGGTGGAACAGTTGTGTGCTCGATTTTTCTGGAAAGGATATGATATTCCAGCTATTGGTTCTCATGTGAATTGGGGGCAGATATGTTGCTTGAAGTTTGAAAGAGGCTTAGGGCTTAGGGATCTTCGATCATGGAATAAGGCATGCTTTATTCAATTTATTAGGAAGTTGCTTGCTGGTGAGGGCTCCCTCTGGATTGCTTGGCTCCGTGCTTATATCTTGAAAGGGGTTGACTTTTGGTAAGTGAGGCTCAAGACTAATGCCAGTTGGAGCTTTAAAAAGATCCTCAAGTTGCAGGCGGAAGCTCTTCCTATTTTTGTTGTTTCTCCTAATTTGGAGGTGCTAAAGGTTGGTTAGATTTGGGATAATGTTAGGATTCAAGACACTAGAGTCAGTTGACATAAATTGATTTGGTTTTCAGACCATATCCCTAAACAAGGTATTATTGCGTGGATCACTGTCTTGTATAAACTTCCTGCTAAGGATAGGTTGTTGCGGATGAATCTTTGTGTTAAAGGAAATTGCTTGCTTTGTGGATGCACGCTGGAGAATAGATCCCATATTGTTTGAATGCCCTTATTCAAGGGGGTGTTGGGAGATCATTATGAGGTTGTACAAGTTGAATAAAGGGGTTATGGGTTGGAATGAAGAGCTTGAGTGGGTGATGTGGAATCTGAAGGGAAAATCGTTCTTATTACATCCTCAAGATTGCTTGGAACGTCCATATTTACCTTATATGGGAAAGGAGGAATGCTAGACAATTTAGAGAACAAGCTAGAGTGTTGTTGCGGTAGTGGCTGTTGTTAAAGAGATTGTGCAAGTTATGCTTCGTAATTTTCATGTGAAATCTAATATTCAACTTTGTTGTAGGCAGGGGATCTCCATGTAGGTCTTTCCTAATTGAATGTTATTGTTGCTTGTAACATGATTGCCTGTTTTTATTTAGGAATGTCTGATTTATTTTGGATAATATAAGTAAAATTTATATTAAAAAAAAATATAAATTTTACATTTTACTTTTGGTAATGCATGTAATTTTATGCTTTTCTTTTGTAATCTAAAAAGGGTAACCTACCGAAATGGTTATGTTGGTTTTATAAGTGTTCGTTTTTTGTCATCGAATTTTAAAAGATGATATTTTGGTCATTTTCGTTTTATAAGTGTTCACTTTTAATCACTATATTTAAAATGATATTATTTTGGTCACTTACCTTATCATTTTATAATGTTTTGGTCGCTAGAACGTTAAAAGCTGTGAGTTTAAGGTTTTAAATGTCGTTAGTTTGATGATATGATATACTATTAAAAGAGATTAGTTTTTAATTTAACCTCTAAATTTTAGATAAAATATTATTTTAATCCTTACATTTTAGATATAACGTCAATTTAATTTTTGAATTTAGATAAAGTATCAATTTGATCCTGGAATATGGTCAAAATATCAATTTAAACAATATTCATGTTCTACTTTTTAAATTCATGAAAGCCATTTTAATGGGTGATATAGGCTGCTGACTTACGTTTTGTTCTATTGTTTTTCTTGGATATCCCTTGCTCCTGGGCCTCAAAGTTCGGTCGATCTCAGCCATTTATTTGAGCTAGGTGCTGAGGTTTTGTTTATGATACGAAATTTTAAGAAAACAAAGAAAATTGCAAAAAAAATGGTAAATTTAAAAATATTTTTAGAATAATAGCATAAAATCTTTGTCTAAAACGAGCACAAATAAAATTCAGAAATGATTATAATTAATAAAATAAATAATTATCTAAAAATATTCTAATGCTCCCCGAGAAGTGGATTCGCCGCTGCCTATATGAAATGGCAATGTCTCGTTTCCTATTATCTTCTTAGGCTTGTTTTCGTTAAGGGTCATACTTATTTAATTCATTTACTCCAATTACTGTAGACAATTGAGTACTAAATGTCTCGTGTACTGTCTAAGCTTGTTCGAGCTTATGATTATAATATAAATTTAAAATTTTAATATCCTTTCTTTTAAAATAATGTCAAGGATAAATTTATTATTATTGTTTAATTTTAAAGAAAGTCAAAGATTCTAGATTAAATTTTTAGAGTTCGGGTTTTTTTAATGATATAGACATCATATTTATGTTTAAATTTAAAAGTTCAAAAAGGAGTTGATTGAAAATTTTGGATCCAAAGCTCGTTGACGATGACCGCTAATGGTGGTCGATAGTGATCAACAACGATGGTGAGTGACGACAGGAGACTTTAGATTCATCGGTTAAATTGATATCTGAAGTCCGATGGTTAAATTGATATTTTATCTAAAAAAATATGAATCAAATTAAAAAGAAATATTTTTACTAATGTGTCACGTCATCAAACTAATAACATTTATTATTTTAACAATTAAAATATTATAAAACTATAGCGTAAATGATTAAAATGTTATCTTTTGATAACAAAAAATAATGCTTTATGAAATAGGAGTGACATTCTATAATTTACTCATATAAAATTATTCTATTCTTATTTTATTGATATTTTAATAATAAAATTTTAATTTTCTTATAATATATATAAATCTTTACTCGTGATATTTAAAAATGATCTTTTAATTCTATATGAAAATTATATAATATTTGTTTCAATAATAAATAAATATATATATATACTGTTTAAATCTAATATTTTTATATTCATTTTATTTATTTCCAGATCAAGTCAAACTTGATTAAAAGAAACCCTTATCCGATACAAATCTATCTTGTAAGACGTTTGAATTTTTTAATATAAATAAATATATTTTACAAATATTTCGTAATAACTTTTTTTACTTTAAATCTATATACACATTTCTGACTTGGCACCTTGTTTCGTGTGCAATATCATTTCAATGTGTTGGTCAATGTATTTATGGTTATTACAACCAGTAATTAGTTTGAGATCGTTATTGTCTAAATGTTGGAAACCGTAGCATTTTTACTTCTTAATTGGTTTTCTGTCAAATAAAAAACATCAGAATTGCTAGACCTGCGCTCCCTCATAACTCATTGCTTTATTACCATTTGCTTTCCTGTTTTCAGCGTTACGCTTTCAGCTTAGTAATTGTATTACTACACTTGTTGCACCCTTTACTATAAAAAGCCGTCTCTAAATATCATCTCACACACGGTTCAAAATGGCTCTCATTACACTGCTCTTTCTAATACTGCTCCAAATCACTATAATCCTCATCACCACATGCAGTATTCCGACCGGTGCGGCAACCGTGCCGAATTTCACCTCCATTCTCATCTTCGGCGATTCCACTGTTGATACCGGGAATAACAACTTCGTCGATACGGTTTTTAAAGCAAATCACGAACCGTATGGCCAAGATTTCCCAGGTCACATTCCTACGGGTAGGTTTTCGAATGGAAAACTCATTCCGGACTTTGTAGCATACTTTCTAGGCATTAAACAAACAGTCCCTCCTTCTCTAGACCCGAGTCTCTCGAAAGATGACCTTCGAACCGGTGTAAGTTTCGCATCGGCTGGATCCGGATATGATGAGATCACCACTGTCATGACAGGAGCGATCCCGCTGCCGAAGCAACTCCAGCAATTCAGGAGTCATAGAGAAAACCTTAGTAGGATTTTTGGTGAAGTTGAAGCTCAAAACATCATTGAAAAGTCTTTGACAATCGTCAGTGCAGGGACCAACGACTTTGGTTTCAATTACTACCTCTTGCCGATGCGTAAACAACAGTACGATGTTAGCGGCTTTCAAGATTTTATGCTAAAAGCATTACAAGACTTCGTCAAGGTTATACATCCAAAGCCCTTTAAAATCTCCAACAAGCAATTTTAGTCCTCTAACCCTCCATCTGTTTACAGGAACTATACAAGCAGGGCTGTCGTAAAATCGTCATAGCAGGACTTCCTCCAATGGGATGTGTTCCGGTCCTAATCACGGAAAGACTTAAGCCCTTCGATCGAAGTTGTTTGGAGGACGAGAACGCCGACGCCCGGTCCTACAACAAAAAGCTTTTGAACTTGCTACCACCACTGGAGGCTAAGCTCCCTGGGGCCAAAATCGTGTATGCCGACATATACACACCGTTACTGGACATGACGACTAATCCGAAAAAATATGGTAAAACAACACACACATGCCTAATTTAACGAACTCGATCCAGAGCACGGTAAAGGAAATTGAGTAACGATTTGTGGGTGCAGGTTTCACGGAGACAAATAAAGGATGCTGCGGGACTGGATTAGTCGAAGCTGCATTTTTGTGCAATGCAGAGACTCCAGTTTGTGAGAAGCCTTCAGAGTTCATGTTTTGGGACAGTATTCATCCAAGCGAGACAGCTTACAGGGCCCTGTGTGATTGGTTGGTAAACCGAATCCTTCAAAAGCTTACTTTGAAGTAAACAACCTCAGTTTTTGGTCACAAATGATATTAGACAATTGATTTTATTGTCCACACGTTTAGTTGAGATTGGAGCAGGGCAGGTCACATAAGGAAAAACATTAGACATTTATGGTTTTTTTTGGGTCTATTTTTAATAATAAAATGTCAGCCTTTTCAGTTTAAGGAGAGATATTTGGACCCACCAACCAAATTACAAAGCACAAGGAACCTAAAGAAAGAAAAATACATGTTATAAGGATTCTACACAGTTCATACAACAAATGATAATATCTCATGTATGATCAGATTCCCTATATACAAAAAAAAGGACAAGACCGCAGGATTATGATTCGCAAATATAAGCCGAAATAGTGTGCTAAAATGCATAACACATACCCACACAAGAACCCTGAAGTTGCATCAGCTACTACTTCCTTCCACCGGATGATCCGTTGCCGCCTTCAAACAGCTCGTTAATCCTGGCCTCAATATCCTCTGGACCGTACCTGATAAGCCTATCGACGTTCCTCCCTATTTCAGGGATACATTGGAGCCTCCCGATGAAGTTTCTATAAGCTGGTAATAGAAGTCTAGACACTGAAATCCTCATCTCTTCTCTCAGCTGCTCGTCGAATACAACCCATGATGACTGTGTTTTACATACATCATCGAATTGAGAATTGAATGACTTGATCTTCTCTTTCATGGACTTGGCAATTGCATTCGAAGCTAAAGAGGAATTGTCGAGCTTTAACGTACCCAAAATCTTGTTCCATGAACTTCTTTGATAATTCGTACAATATTGCCGGACTTTGGCATTGTGTTTTCGGATCCAATCATCACCCAAAAGTGACTCCAACTCACTATCCTTCACTTTTTGTACGATGTATCTTCCATTGTTCATCATAAAAATGGAGCACAAAGCAGAGTCTCTATAAATCCTGGACTTCATCTCCAAATTACTCTCCAAAAGCTCCATAATCCATGCCATCTGAACTGACATTGATGATGAAGACACACGTCTATCATCAAGCGATGGAACGACCACATTACTTTCGTCAAAAACTTGTTCTAATGTCTGTCGTGAACGACAAGCTGCACGGAGATAGTTCATTACATATCGAGTGATTGGATGGAGTCCACCGCCAGGAACAGCTGCCTTAGCGGGGTCTCGCCGAATCAAATTCTCTAATTCCATGAATATCCCTCTAATTGCTTCTCCCAATCTCTTCCAAATGGTAATGGCTTCGTTTCTAAGAACCAAACAGTATTGATCAGAGAATACAGAATCGAATTCAGGCATCAAGTCTCGCATAGTCTCGAACACATCAAGAACTTTGAAAAGCCTCTCGGGCGATCGACTTCCTATAGCAATGGCGTCAGCGAAATTAAGTAACTGAATGGTGGAGCCACGGCAGACTTCCATGAAGGAGAGATCAGCAGCTGAGGAGAATCCGAAAAAGATGCGATCACATAACCGGCGTTCGCTCGGGAAGAGGATACGGAGGGAAACGTTAGCAGCTTTGATCCAGCGTTCAATCTCATCTTCCAGTTCCTGCCAGGGCATTTTTTGGACTTCATCGATGCTCAATTTCTGTAATCCTAGCCTCGAGATGCTCTCTTCGAGGAACTCTCTGCGGCAGGTGCTGTAAACGTGAGAGCACTCTTTACCGAACCCTGCCGCTACCATGCGCTTGGCGATCTCGTGAAGGTCGTTAATAGTCCCCGAAGGAAGGGCATCGATTACGATGTCATAGTCCGTTACCGGTTGGGCTACAGGGATCTGATGATCAAGAGCTGCACCGTTGTGAAGAAGACCTTCCTCGTTTTCTTCGTTGTCATCGTCAGAATCGAATGATAAGTTCCCGGTTGACTCGTGGTTGTTCCGACCCAGTTCAAACGAATCAGCGCCTCGGTCCATAAGAGACCTGAACTCATCCTCGACGCGGAACATGGCCTGTTGCATAAGGTCGTCGGCGCGTGCAAGGCAAGCGCCAACTGATTTCTCGGCGGCCATGGGGCTCCAGTCCCTAATCGTACGAATCAATTCGTCAATAGCGTCAAGGAAGGCAGAGGAATCGGCGGAGTGAGCCCAGATGGGGTGATCAAGCGCCACGTATTGGGAGATCTGACGGTCCAAGGAATGAAGAGCTCGGTCGAGGACGGCGCAGCCACGAGGATTGTTGCCGTCAACCATATTCTCAGAGAGCTTCTCGCGAGAAAACCTGCCGTCGAAGTTGGAGAAGATCTGCAAAATATCGTCGGCCATGGTGTCGTTCTGGCCCAGCGTCTTGGCTATATGCCTAGCCACCGCAAGCAGCTTCTCCTCACCGTTGTCAGCCATAGGCAAAGTAAGTATCTCCTTGATTCTCTTCTTTATCTCTTTCTAACTCTGATTCAGAGCCCAAACAAACAAAGAACAAGGCGATTTTTGTAATATATCATCGTTATCAGTAATATTATTGATTTAACATCGGTCAGATTATATTTTATGATTTAACATTTTAGCAGTAAAGCGCCTGCACTGTGCTATACGATGATTTGACGTTACGTGGGATATAGCGTATCACCTGCACCGCGCTATAGGGTGAGCTGGCGCCACATGGGTATAGCGCGGCCTGCAGCGCGCTATACATGTATATCTGACACGTGGGATATAGCGCGGTGCAGGGGGCGCGCTATACCTCTAACTACCGACCCCTCCTCCTTATAAATATCCCCATTTTAAATCAATTTTATCATACCAAATTCTCTCAAATTTTCTAAATTTCTCTCAAATACTCTCTTTTTAAGGTATATTTTATAATATTTTTACTATTATATTTTTACTTTATTTAATTCTTTTGCAGATATATAATGGAAGGCATTCTACTTCGCTCGGATGGAAATCATATATATCTACACTTTGCTGATACGGTAACATTTTAACGTTTTAATTTAATTTAAATTATTAGTAATATTTAGTTATTTATTTAATGCATTATTATTATATTAATAATTAAATATCTCGACACTTTGCTGATACGGTAACATTTTAACGTTTTAATTTAATTTAAATTATTATTAATAATTAGTTGATTCATTTAATGCATGATTATTAGATTAAGAATTAATATTTGTAATTATTTATTTTTAGGAGAATGACCGTGTATTAGATTCTTTTATTAGGAATCTTAAGTTAGTGATACCCAGTCGTGTCTTGTCGTATTTAGTAGAGGCTGGATTCGGTTACATAGGTAGATATCAGGGTCACTTTAAGATAGAGCCAGACTTGATTTCTGCCTTAGTAGAGCGGTGGAGGCCGGAGACCCACACATTTCATCTTCCGTGCGGAGAGTGCACGATCACTCTTGAGGATGTTTCTATGCACCTGGGGCTTCCGGTGGATGGAGATGTGATATCGGGGATAGCTTCTGGTTATTGGACTGGTTTGTGTCGGGATAGTCTAGGACGTGTCCCGGAAAATTTTATCGGAGGTAGGATACCGTTAAATTGGTTAGATACCAATTTTCGGGAGTTGATCGCAGACGCCTCTAAGGATGAGGTTAAGATGTATGCACGGGCATGCATACTGCAGCTGATAGGAGGGTTACTGATGCCGGACAAATCGCGCAACCTAGTTCACTGCATGTGGTTGCGACATCTTAGCAACTTTCGTCTCGCCGGATCATTCAGTTGGGGCTCGACAATTTTGGCTTTGCTGTACAGGGAGATGTGCGGAGCCACTGACTACAGGCGTAATGCTATCGGCGGATGTCTCCTGCTGCTGCAGTCTTGGGCATGGTATCGATTGCCCTTTTTATGTCCCGTTGTGAAGAACCCATTTTTATTTCCACTACTTCTGAGGTAATTATAAAACTGATTTTGTATATTAATAATTTTATACAGCGTATAACAATTTTTTTTCCTTGAATAGGTGGTCTACTGATAGGAAAAATCATCAGGAGCTACCTGATGATTTAGAAAAGATTAGGGTGCTAATCGATCAGAAGGCTGACACACATGTATGAATTTTAATGTTTAAAAATCGATTTTAGATTATAGTTATATAATTAGATTATTATTTTGAAAAAAATTATATATTATTTGTTTTAGTTTGAATGAGTGTCATATTCTACTGATGATGTGAGGGCGGTGATCCCACCTGAGTTGAGGGGTCCATTAGATGTTTGGATGGCGATGGTCCCTCTGATCTGTTATGCGACCGTCGAGTAGCACTCCACTGATCGCGTGCTCTGGCAGTTTGGTTGTTTTCAACCAATTCAGGAAGCACCTCGCAATATGGATGAGTTGCATAGCTTAGATAGACGCGGCAAGACAGATACATATTGGCTGGTGAGACATCATGAGTGGGTCGTGTTGTGGGAGGATCGACTTCGGCGCCTTCCATTTAGAGAGCCCATTTTTACTGACTTCTTGATGTATGCTGAGGATTATTATGAGTGGTTCAACAGTAACGGGAAACCGTTTCTACTTCCCGAGGATGCACGAGGGCAGACCTTTCCACGACGTCGACAGAGACATTCACCGACACAGCACCATCGTCCCTCGACTCGTGGACGGAGAGCAGGTGCTTCCGGTTCATCCTCAGCTGCCGCAGCCATATATGATGCCGCAACCATATATGATGCCACCATCGCCTTTCCATTATCAGATGTCGACGCCGTCGCCTTCACCCGATTTTATGACCCCACCACCGCCACCGTCACAGATGACCCCTCCTGGAGGCTATTATGGGTCTATGTTTGCAGACCCGACTTAGGGTTCATATACTGGATATTTGGCGGGTTCAGCCTCATGACCCATGGTCGCAGCACAGACACCGCCTCTTGTACAGTTTTCACACTCAGCGATATCTGGGTTTTATGACTTTTCCCAGTTTTCGCAGGCCGGTGGGATAGTCAGTCATACACCTCCAGGGTCCTTATTCTACGGAGGTGCTTCATCGTCATCAGCTCCTCATGTACCTGCGCAAGACGACGACAACGACGACGACGACGACGATGGTGATGATGATGACAGCGAGGAGTCAGAACCAGTGATACGAAGGAATCCTCCTCGAGACCGACAGCCACCGCCCTACGGAACACATTCGCGTCCCATGCATCGATAGATTTTATTTTTTATTATATTTGTATTTATTTTATTTTGTTAAATTGTAATTTTTTTTATTTCTCATTTAATACTTACTTTATTTTGTTTTTTTAATGTATTTCAGTTCGTTTTTTTTATTACCATTTAATATCAGTTATTGTAATTTGATTATCATTTACCATTTAATACTTATTGTTATTAGTTTGTTAAAATTTAATGATTGTGTTTGTTTTTTTAATCTTCATCGGTGATTATCAAATGACATTAACTTGAAGTAAATGCAAATTAAAGTAGAAGAATTATTATTTGATAATAAAATACATCATTTCCTCATCAATTGTTACTTGATGAAAACAAAAGTGGACATGTTTTTCTAGTGTGTCCTGGGTTTCTACAATGCCCACATCTTCTGTCTTGTCTAGATCTTTCTCTAATATCCATATCGCAATGAATTCGATTGGATTTTGGACGACCACGCTCCCTCAATAAACTCATATTTGGTACAATAGGAAGCCAATCTTGAACCTCATCAGGGTCTTTATCATTACCTATGGGGGGAAACTCAAATTCGTATACCTTAAAAACTTCAGATAGTAGGTATACAGGATCCACAAAATGGTTATAGTCTTGACGTGTATGCGAGCAAGCTGCTATCACATGAGAGCATGGATACTTCAGAGCTTGAAAAAACCCGCAGTCGCACATTCTGTCCCTTAGATTTACTCTTAACGACACATCTTCAATCCCTTGAAGAGGTCGCGATAACTCTGTGACAAAAAACATTTCATGCCTTCTAGAGAAGCTTGTTACAGACATTCTATTTGATGCATCAATTTTGTTTCTGTAGATCTGTAACTAATCTAGGGTGATAGACATGACCGCCTTGCATCCAGGTTTGAGCTTGTCCCCCGAGTTTCGCAAAAAGTGCCCCCAAACAAAAATATGTAGTCTTTACCAAAGCCGCTACAGGTAAGTGACGTGCACCCTTTAAGGTTGAATTGATTGCCTCTGCCAAGTTGGTAGTCATGTGTCCATATCGATATCCACCATCATATCCGTTCGTCCACATTTCTTTATCGATGAGGCTGATGTAATCATATCCTTCCTCGTTCTTCGCCCGCAACTCTTGAAACATTGATTCAAATGTTCGAGGAAATAGTTCGTAACCTGATCAAAAAATATATAACTTACTAACTTGATGTCTTTGCAAAATTAAAACGATCGAAAGATAACAAACTTGCTAAGTTTCACTTACCCATGCGCACAATTAATTGACGCTCATCGTTCTTCTTGTACCTTCCATGGTAGTTCGCGGCAATGTGTCGAAGACAATACCTATGTTGGACAAAGGGTGGTTGCCACATTAGACCCAAAGACACCATTGTTGCTTTGATCCCAGCTCCGTGATCTGAAATGACACAGATGTTTTCCCTCGTGATAACATGTGCACGTAAATTTCAGAGGAAAAAAGCCCAAGAAGCTGCATCTTCTCCTTCGACAAGAGCAAAAACAACTGGAAGAATGTTGTGATTGCCATCTTGGACAACTGCCAATAATAAAACTTGTTTGTATTTTTTCATACAAGAAAGTCCCATCGATCTGGACCACAGGCTTGCAGAATTTGACAGCATTAACGCACTGTGGGTAACTCCAAAAAAACCCGGTAGAATTGGCATCGATCATGAAAAACTCGATCATTATGGTATGCATAGGAGGTTTCGAAGTCCACAATTGTCCCAGGATTCAACGTTCGCACCAGCCTAAACCAACCTGGAAGTTCGTTGTAAGATGCATCCCATTCGCCATGAAGTTTGACAATGTCATTTTGTTTTGCCAACCAAGCTTTTTTATAGGAGAAAGTGTACCCATACTGCGATTGTATAGCTGAAATCAACACTGCAACAGCTATATGAGAGCTTGCTTTGACCATGGGCATGATGGCTTGGCATATCACTTCAGAGTCCAAGTTGGGATGATCTTGGTTGACCCCTCCAGCACAACATGTGTGAGGATCGTTGTATATTGTTAGTTCCCATCTGTTGTTTTTCCTCTTCCTCTTCGATACGCGAACCATCCAATTGCATCCATTTTCGTGCTGGGCACAGTAGCATACATATTTTTCGGTCGTGGAGAGGTCTACTCTGGACTGAACATAATTACAAATATTGTAATTTTTTATAGCCATCATCGCTTCTTCTTTGCTTGAAAATTCCATGCCTAAAGATAACTCACCATTATTTATTGATAAGTAATACCCATAGTCACCGAGATGAGGCAATATTCGTAAATTCTGGCCCGTACATTGCACCATAATCAGCT